ACATAATGAACCAGGCCTGGAAAAAACAGGCCTGCACAACCTCTTGAGGAAGTCACTGCAACTAAATGATTCCAGTAACTTTCAATAGGATTTTTGCAGGTATTTGGTCCCACTCCTCATGGGTAAACTTCTCCAGTTGTCTCAGGTTTGAAAGCTGCCTTTTGCATACATCATGACATGTACAGTATCAGCTTATTCCAAAGATGGATCCAGTCAGATTTAGATCAGGGCTTCATAGAAGGCCGCTTTAAAATAGTCCAATGTTTTTCTCTTAGATGTTTTCTTAGAATGTTTTCCTTCCTGTTAAAGACCCAAGACCTGAAACTGAGACCAAGCGTTGACACTTGGCAGCACACTTCTCTCCACAATACCTTGATAGTTTTTATATTTCATTGGACCCTGCTGAGATTCAAGAGACCATGTGCCAGATGAAGCAAAGCAGCCCAAGAACATAACAGAGGCTCCTCCATGTTTCAAAGTAGGGACATGCTTCATTTTTCCATCTGTGAACATAGAGATGATGCTCCTTGTAAAAAAGCTTCTTTTTTGTCTCACCTGTCCATAGGGCATTTATGGTGTCATCCTTGGTCGCTTCTCAATAAGTCCATCTTGGATGACAGATGATTTGATCTAAGAGTGATGTTCTTTGAGCTTGAAAGTCTCGTTTAAACTCTTTACGAGTATGGCTGTTTTTTTTTTTTCCATTATCAGACTCTATGATTTGTCATCAGTTTTCCTTCTGCGACCATGTCACAGAGGTTAGCTACAGTCCCCTGGATCTTACATTTCTGAATGATATGTGCAGCTGCATTTACGGGGAACATCTCGCTGCTTGAAGATGGTCTTATAGCTATAAACTATAAAATACTTGTCTATAATTTTCTTGTCATTCTCCTGAACTAGTTTGTTCCTTCGCTTCCTCTGGTCCACGTTGAGTGTGGTACACACCATGTCAGCAAACAGCACAGTGACTACCTGTAGCCCTTTTTATATCGCCCACTGACTGATTACAATATCGTAGACACCTGTGGTGCCAATGAGTGTATACTACCTTCAGTTAACATGTCTCTTTGGCAGTGATGGGACTAACGCCGTTACCTTTTTTTAGTAACGAGTAATCTAACTAATTACTTTGACTGTAACTATAACGCACCTTTTTTCATGATAGGACTCGTGCGCGCCTTGTCCTTAGAGAAGGGAGAATGAGATTGGCTGTTACGGGTGTTAACGTACAGCACACACAGAGAGTTGGAGAGTGAGGATGGCTCCAGCAGAAAAACAGCTTTTTTCCAGATGGAAATACCAGTGTAACGCTGAGCTGCGTTTCCCCATCAGATACGGTTTCCCCAGCATCTCCACACAGGGCAGGCGGCACGATTCACCGGTTAAGCAACAGGAAACGCGCATGCTCGCTAAAGGCGCGTAACAGCCGCCCTGTGCTCGCGCCACAGGGGGGATGGATGGATGGATGGATGGATGGATGGATGGATGGATGGATGGATGGATGGATGGATGGATAGATAGATAGAT